GCACCCTGCGGAGCTCCGTGTCCACAATTAAGCGCGTGCTTACGCAATGTAATGCAGAGCAAACCAGAAAAAAATGTATGTAAATATACACATATATATTAAAAAACTGTATAAAATAAAATTGATGGCAAATGTTGCGCAGCAGCCATAAATTGAAAGCCAGACAAACAAAAGCTGAAGCGCCAAGGGAGCTCAGATGCCCTGCACAGGTGCCGGCAAAATCTCATCAAAAACGCAAAACCAAGAAAAATATTGAATGCAATTTTATTTGCCGCACGCATATGCAGCAGCATGTGGAGCACAGCTCAGCAGCAAGCTGCAACCGTATAGCGCTTCTTTTCGAGCTACTGCCTCATGGCAACTGAGACTGAAAGAAATATATCATGTTGGTGCGCGTGTGTGTGTGTGCAGAACTATGCTACTTAGCGTCTGTTTGCATAGGTGAGCGACTGCTTATAAGTTGGCTGTCACACATACGCACACGCTCGCCCAAAAAGAAATCGTATTTCCTGCTGCACACAATGCAGCTGAGCGTAAGGTGCAACCGCTCGCCGCACATTGTCATTGCAATGCGCTTGCCACTGCCACGCCCACCGCTCCTCTGGCTGTTGTTGTTGTCAATTCAGAGCGTGCTGATGTTCGCAGTTCTCTGCAAAAAGACTCACGCAGCCATGGGTCTACCAGCTAACAACATGTCCCTAGCCAACCAAGCCACCCGATCACCCGACCACCTGGCTACCAGAGCCACCTGGTGGCTCCACCTGTCTACTCGTGTGTGCCTCTAAATGAGTTTACGTGCTGTTATGTGTGCGTTGCCACCCGTTGCACCCTCAGCAGATCCTGTTGCCAGCTCTGGCTCCTCTGCTRTTTCTTTGTTTGTTTGACTTTCTCCTCTCCGCATCGGCTGCAGGATGAGTTCCTGTCCTTGCCTCAATTGTTGTCTGTTGTCTGTTGACTGGTTGGTTACCTGCCTCGCTCGGCGTCTGTGCTGCTTGTCTCTCTCATCAAAATCCAGTTTAAGATTTTTGATTTAATTTTGTTTGCTTGTCGGTTTCCTGATGCACGTACCATGCGCTTCAGGTTGGCTCTCGGCATTCGGCATCGTTCCGTGCAGTTGTTGCCCCAAACGAATTTATGTGAGACAATCAAAAGGTTGCCTTTGACACACACGCACATACGCACACACGCACACAAACACATTCACAAACTTGGTATGAAGTGCTTATCAAGTAGTAAATATGAAATGCTAATTTCAGATGATGCTGAGCATTCTCTTCGGAAATGCCATCACACGCTGCTTAGCTTGTTTAGCCGGCTTCATGAGTAAATCTGTGATTAGTAAATAACTTGGATTATTCTACTCGAACACCTAACTTTAAGAATTATTTGCACTTTTTCTAAGAATATATAGCTGCTTTGACTTTTGTCACTTGTCAAAGCAAGTCCTTTATATAACAATGGAAGCCCTTTCACTTCTCTTTGTCAGCGTCTATTAGTGGCTAACCAAAGCACACGCAAAATGTTTACACTTCACTGTCGCTTATTTAAAATCAAATTAAATTCACCTCAATTCACAGCAGAAATAGTGAGTGAAACAGAAAAGAAAAAAATCAGCAATAAACAACACCAACAAGAATTGTAAATGAAATCAGAGCAAATTAGTTGTAATTGAATTGTTGCCTACTTTGCATGCGTTTTGCTCTAATCGCCTTAAAGCGAGCAGCAGGGGCAGAGCCAGAGCCAAAGGCAACAAGAACTTGTTGATTACCGACGACCCAGACAGGTGATCAACAACAACAACAATAACAACAACAACAATAACAACTACAACAAAAGCAGCAACAGCAATAATAGTTGGAATGGAATGTCGAGTTCAAGTACACGGACTGGTCAAAGGCGGTTCTGTGGCCCTTGTAGTGCACGCCTCATATCGTATTTGTAGCTTCTGCATGTATTTGCCACGCCGACAAAACGGCCAAACGAATACAAATATTTGACGTTTTAGTCTAATTAAATTAGCTCAAACCCAGCGCTGGCCCTCGGGAAATCGGTATAAATTTCTGCGTTCCGGCCAAGTGGCCAAACGCAGTTCAAAATTCGCTAAAGCCGGCGCGTAACGCAACACAGTGTGCCACAGTGCGGCTAGCAGAGCGCTACCATGTGTATTTGTAACTGTGAAAAATAAAACATAAAAGAAACAAAAATTAAATAATATTATACATGCAATTGCTATGCACGTGAGGAATATAAAAAACTGCTATGCGTCTTAACGTGTGCAATACAAAAGTTAAGCCACAATATTTTTACCTCTAAGCCACATGAAATTCCATTGTCCATTGTGCGGTCGCGCTGAACAATTGCACACGTTTTTATGCGCCAGAATGCAAGAAGTAAGTGGCTTAAGAGTCCGAGCGACCAAGTGAATTATGTACGACAGAGCAGGGGCAGCGGGAGGCACACATAGAAGGACACTGAGCGCAATAGCAACAGAATTGAAAAAAATCGCCGAACAAAGCTGTTGCCGGTCATTGTCTGTACACACACATCAGTGTGCTAGTATGTGCGTGTAAGTGAGAGTGTGGTGCATATTTAAATTGAGTACTAACAAAGCCTGCGAACGAGGCAAAAACAAAAACTGCTGAAGCTTAAGTTAAAAAAACTCCAAGCATAAACATGAAAATATTTTTAAAACAGGTATTAAAAGCCCCAGAAAGTAGACATGCCCCCGACCATTAGAAACTATCAATTTCATGAATTTAACATCCTCCAATTATTGCTTAGATATATAAAACAGTTCTTAAACATTAAATTTCACTTTGTAGTACCCGAGAATAACATTAAATATTGCTAGATATTCATACGACAAATTCCAAAATTCCTACACTCAGTAGGCTAAAATTTTGGTGGGCTTTAGTTATTGAAAACGTTAGAAAAACAAGAATTACTCAAAAGAGTTTTGTGTGCACGTCGAATGATAAGAGCATTTAGCCACTGACCTAGCTGAGCTCAATGAACTTGGAGTGACTAAGTGGTTATAGAGCATCCCGAAAAAACGTATGCACCCGACAAAGCTGTTATCTCAGCATACTCTTAGCATATATCATTCCCAAGAATTTGGGATTAAATAAAAGTGACTCGATAAATTATTATACTGGTCTTCATTGCAATAATTGTAATAGACCATTCTTAGTTGTCGATGTCAGAGCAATCTTAGTTTCGCTTCCTACTAAGCGAACATTTTTTTACAGCCGAGCCATCAGCTGACGCTGCGTATACGCTGTATATCAGCTGTGTTTGCAGATAAAAATGAATTTATGATGGCAGTTTTATGTGCTTCCTTGTCGGCATTTTTTTTTTTTTTTATGAACTATATGCATGTTAAGTGACAAAAAAGTGCGCCAGTTTTTTTTTTTTTTTTATTAGCTTAATTAAACAATGCAATTGTTGGCTTTTGTCCTTTTTTTTTTTTTTTTCGCACATACCTCCTGCTGTTCGCTTCCAGCGGAAGTGCATTTTTTTTTTTTTTTGACATTTAAATTTGCATTGGCTGGATATTTTTTGCTTTTTGTTTTTTTTTTTTTTGTGCCACTGTGAAAGCCCTTCAAAGGCAAACGCTCTTAAAAAATATGCATAAATTGCAAAGTTTGTTTTAAATAAATATTTATGCATTGATTGGACAATTGCGAAAATCAACATGTTAATTAATTGAAGTAAGAGATTTCATATTTTGATGTGCGAGTTAAGCTGCGACGCGAGCTACAACTAAAAACAATATTTCGTTTATGAATTAAGTTATTTGTGAAATAAAACACTTGTTGGCCAGCGGGCGTGTGTAAACAAATGCAGTTATAAACAAATGCAACTGCACAGCTAAAGAAAAACACAAACACAAAAATCAAATTGAATTGCGAAACAAGCTGCGTGTAAAATGCAAATGTAAAATTCGAAATTGAAAATTTGTAAGACAAAAAAATGTGTGAAAGTTTTACTTGTGATTTTTGAATAAAACAATACATATGATACTGAGAAAAAGAAAGATATCAAAATGAACAAGAAATAACAAAAAAATTAAAATATCACAAAAATATGTGAAGTTTAAAACTAACAGCTTGACATTTCTATACGGAAAACAATTAAAAAATATAAAAAATTTAAACACAGAAATTATAAATAACCAAAAATTAAAAAAAAATTTAATAAT